AGGTAAACCTGGTTTCACGAGGCATACCTGTGCCGATCAAGAAAGGCTTCTTTGTCGGCGCGTCGCGTCCAGACTGCCCCAATCTGCCGACAAACAGCTGATCGGCAGAGCGGGGCAGCCATTTAAATTTAAATGAAGCCGCGATTATTTTAATCACAGCTTCATTTCCCTCTGCCAATCTGGCTAATCTACATGCCTCCGTCGACGGAGGCATGTAGTCTAGACACACCCCTAATGTCCAACTTCAACCTCCCTTGCTGCAGTTTCAGCCCATTGCTTCTTGTCCTAACCTCAGAGGCCAAGGAGAACAATTTTTTCCCCTCCTCCTTGTACCACTCTTTTAGGTACTATCATGTTCCCTTTCAGTCTTCTTTTCTAAACTAAACAAGCCCAATTTTTTCAGCCTTACCTCCTAGCTCCTCTTCTCTAGACCTTTCAATGTTCTTGCTGTTCTTCTCTGGACCTTCTCCGATTTCTTCCCATCTTTCCTGAACTGTGGTGCCCAGAACTGGACACAAGACTCCAATTGGGGTCTAATCAGCGTGGAGTAGAACGGAAGAATGACTTCTCGTGTCTGGCTCAGAACACTCCTGTTCATGCCGCCCAGAATCAGGTTGGCTTTTTTTGCAACAGTGTCTCACTGTGGACTCATAATGCTAGTGATAATAATAAGAAAACCCTTCTTAGCTTTATATGTGTTCCTAACACAGTTGTAGAGAGAGACTCTGGTTCATGCCGGTTGCTGGGTTAGGCTTTTTCAGATGAAACCGTAAGTGATGGGTCTCCTCTGCCATCAAAATGGCACATCTGCCATCATTTGTACCGTGACCCCAGATGCAAAGTGCTCTGTCTACAAGCCACCTGCCAGCTCCATAAACTCCCCTTGCGGTGTGAGTCCAGCGGGCTCTTTCCTTCCTGACCATCCAAACCAGCACGCCCGTGCAGCCCTCCAGCTGTCACACAAAACCCTCCCTGACCCATTGATGGCATTGTGGGGTGTGTGTGTGTGTGATTGTGAGGTGAAAGTTACAGGTAGTGCAGCTGGAGCACAGATCCAGCTCTCTCTCCCCTCGCGGGAGCAAAGAGCGGTCTCGCCCGTGTTCATCAGCATGGCCATGTGTTTACTGCAGGACAAGATCAAGATGCAGCTGCAGATGGCCATCTCCATCATGTTCAAAGTCGCCCTGTTCCACTGGGAAGAACTCGCCGAGGAGCTGCCAGGTAACACCGAAATCACCTCAGCTGGCAGGCAGCAGGAGCCCCCCCTGGTCCCAGGCAGGGTGAAACGGTCCAACAAGGGGCTCATGCCCAGGTCTTCCCAGGCCCTTGTGTGATCTCGGAGCATGAGCAGAACCATGCGTGTGGGGAGACGTCCACGGGCTTAGGATGCGTCAGGGTGAAGCGGGGGCCTCCTCCCTGCAAGGGACGGATGGGGTGAGCTTTGGACACCGAAGCTCCTCCCGCCCTTCTGCAAGGGACGGATGGGGTGAGCTTTGGACACCGCAGCTCCTCCAAAAGGGGCTAGTGCAGAAGACCCCTGTGAGGGCAGGCGCTGGGTTTTCCCCAGTGCCACGAGCACCCCGGGTGCACACCATGCAACCAGTGTGGAGGGGCTGCCGACGGAGCAGGGGGGCTGCATGGCCCCCTGTATCCTGGCTGCTCCAAGGGCTACCCAACCTCCACCCATACCGCTAAACCACTCGGGGGGAGGGGGAGTTTCCATTGACTTTGGGGCGGTAAAATGACCTGCCCATGGCTCACAGGCATGCTGGCAGAGCTGGGAATCCCACCTACCTCTGTA